TGTATCCTATGAAGTAAAACCCAAAAAGAAACTATTAATAGATTGACAAACAAAATTGTTTGAGCTATTCGTTATAGAATATTTTTGAATTTTTAAAATTTAAATTCTATATATTTAGTTTTTATGTAAAATTTTCATTATATATATATTTTTGTTATAACTTATATCTTTAAAACTCCTAACATAACTAGTTAGTTAGAATTTGAACTCGTAACTTTTTATAAGAAATAATTATCACTAGATTACAAATTCTTTAATGACTATATGTTAAAAAAGGTATTTTATGTCTTTTTTCCTTTACTTATATTTGGTTCTTCGAGTTCTTATTTTATATAAAACGGTTTCCAACTTTAATTTTTCTTACAACAAATTCCTGCATGTTTTTGTGATTGAAATGCACTTTCAGCCCAATCGCGTGGGCCTAGAGACAACCAAGCTCATATAGATGGTCCTAGCGTGAGCTCAAACCACCCCTTTTTTTTATTATTTACTCAAAATAATTTTTTCTTCATAATTAATGATTACATTTTATTTTTTATATACTTATTTTACTAAAATTAAATAAATTGATTTATAATTTTTTTTTATTTTAAAATAATTAATTACATGTTTTTTATTCATCAAAATAAAAAATATTTCTAGGATATATTTAAACTCAATTATATATATATATTATTCTCACAGTCAGTGTTAATAAATTTTATTTTACGTCTAGAATTTTTAATTATTTAAATTAAATATTAAAACATATTATATAGATTTAACGATAGTGCATGGGTATTATTCTTGCGTATACCAAAACTAAATGGTATTTTTACTGTCCATAAGCATCTATTATAATGAACAAAAAAGCGTTATGTTATGTCTTTTTTTCCTTTTCTTTTTCTTTTTTAACTTGAAACGACATCATTTTTCCGAAAGTTATTCTTAAAAAAAATATTTTACTTTTTCATACTTCGGTCTTTTGAGTTCTAAATTTGTGTAAAATCATGCCAAACAGAACTTAATGTTTGAAAGATCTCATTTTCTTTTATGTATATTTTATTCATTATTCCTATCTATAAGTATACCGATCTCTTGACAGTTGTCCTTAAACATTAGGTCTTCGTGCAAATGGTCATCATGGTTGCTTAATAAAAAATTAATTCATCCTTTAATTATTGGAATGTCGCATTCTTTGTGTTCATAATTTTATTTTATTTTTTTCTTTTCCATTTTGAGGGTTCCATGTGTCTCATTTTGCCTCTTTTTTTTTAATTGAAAAAGTAATTTACCACCAACTTTTCACATTGATACATGTGAAAATTGATAAAAAAATGAAATATAGGTGCCATTAAATAATGAATAATACATGTATTTAGATGGATTTGCTTGTGTTTATAATCTTATTATTATTTTTATTTATTCAAATTCATGATATAAGCTACTCCATGACGCCAATCACTATCAACATAATTATTAATTATACAGTGAGGAAATTAATCTAGTTCATAGGTGAGACCAGGAGTGGGACATGAGCACTTTTCAGTAATATATATATAAGGAAACACGCGGAACCTCAAAATGAAAAAAAAAAAATAGTAAAAAGCTTATGCACTTCATAAAAGAAGAGCAAGAAGGGGAGGTTCGAATAATTAAAGCAGATAATAAATTATGATATCCATAAAATTTCACCTTCCACTTGCTGGTGGCATAAGAAATATGTGATATTATAAAAAATTAATTTTTTTATCCAAAGTTTAATGGAGATCTGTATCCTATGAAGCAAAACCCAAAAAGAAACTATTAATAGATTGACAAACAAAATTGTTTGAGCTATTCGTTATAGAATATTTTTGAATTTTTAAAATTTAAATTCTATATATTTAGTTTTTATGTAAAATTTTCATTATATATATATTTTTGTTATAACTTATATCTTTAAAACTCCTAACATAACTAGTTAGTTAGAATTTGAACTCTTGACTTTTTATAAGAAATAATTATCACTAGATTACAAATTCTTTAATGACTATATGTTAAAAAAGGTATTTTATTTTCTATATGCATATAACTTTATTGCATTTTGGTTCTCTTCAAATTTTTTTTTTTATGTATAATATTTTATCAATTTAAACATAATGCAATATCTATTTTTTCAAGACACTGTGGCTAAAAGACAATGATGGATTGTTAGCCTCCTAACTTATATTTTTTCCTTGTGTGATAGCTGGCTTGATTCAAAAAATGATTGACTTAATCTCCATTAATGGGAAATTTGAAACCCATGTACTCAACTAGCGATGAATATTGTTAAAAGACTTAATATATCGGAAAATCACAAACTACATATTGTTTAATGATTTTAGCTCGTTTTTTAAAAATTATATAGAAATGTTATTAATTAAACATTCGATAATAATACAAGCATCGATCTGATTTTTTAACCGGAAATTCGATCAACATTGATATGATAGTCCCACGTAAGTATGACAAGTGGACTTAGCCGACCACATACGTGGATCTTACGTGGCTAGCTAAAGTTCACATGTCATGCTTACGTGAATTCTACATGACTTGTTAAAATTCACATGTCATGTTCCGTCACCTGTCATGTCAACGTTGATGAAAATTTTTATTGAAAAATCAGATTGGTGATAATATTATTATCGAATGTCTAGTTGATGACATTTCTATATAATTTTTAAATAACGAGTTAAAATCATTAAAACGTGTATAGTTCATTATTTTTTGACATATTAAATATTTTTAAAAATATAATAATGAATAATGCATGCATTTGGATATACTTGCTTTTGTGCATAATAGTAATTTTTTCCTTATTAGATTCATGATATAAACATATTTTAGACTTTAAACAAACATTAACTAAGCTAATCAATGACGCCAATCACTATCATCAAAATGATAATTAATAATAAGAATATAGTGAGATTATTGATCTCGTTCCTAGGTGGGACCAGGAGTGGGTAACGAGGACTTTTCAGTAAAAATAAATAAATAATCAATGTCCCTAATCCCATGCGTTATATTTGGCACGATAATGACCGTTGGATGATAGGAATGGTATCCAAGCGCATGCCGTTCAAAAACCCTGTCCTGGTTAATAAGACAAATGTTAACGGGTTTCACGTGCATTTTTTTATTCATTTGAAAGGCAAACGCCTTTTAGTCTCCCTATAGTATATAGTTTCTTAATTGAGTTTCACAAGTATCAATTTTATCAATTAGGTCCCCTTTCCGTCCATCTTTCCTCAATTAGATATTTATGTTAAAATAATTGGAGACAATGTTAAACAGTGCACATGCTAGTAACATATTTTCTAACCTATCTTAATTAATTTTATCAAATCTTAAGCACAGCAATATCCAATTATTAATATTATTTTAAGACATGTTAGATAAAATCAGGGTAAAATTGTAGTAAGTTTATATTCTGACTATACATATGTTCTTAACATGTTGAATAGAGGAAAACTGCAACAACTAAGGTTAGTTAAAAAAGATATCTCAATAATCGATGGACTCAATTGAAAATTTATACATAATAGGAAACTAATATGAGGTTTTCCATTTAAAGAAAATGCACTTGGAACCCCGTTATCAAGATAACGACAGAGATATTTAACTTATTATTATTATTTTTAAATGATATGGAAATATAATTCATTATTTAATATATAAAAATATTTTATAAAAAAATTAACTACTCCTAACATAATAATTAAAAAAACAATGAATTATTGGAAGTCCAACCAGCTCTACTCAAAAAAATTATAGAATATATAACTGATAGGTTGGATAATTATTAATTGGATTAGAATATTACAAGCTAGGAGACTATCAATCCATCATTGTCTTTTTGCCATTGTGTCTTGAAGAAATGGACAAAAGGAAACACGTGGAACCTCAAAATGAAAAAAAAAAAAATTAGTAAAAAAATTATGCACTTCATAAAAGAAGAGAAAGAAGCGGAGATTCCAATAATTAAAGCAGATAATAAATTATGATCTCCATAAAATGTCACCTTCCACTTGCTGATGGCATAAGAAATATGTGATATTATAAAAAAATTAATTTTTTATGCAAAGTTTGATGGAGATTGGAATCATATAGAGTAAAAACCAAAAGAAACTATTAATAGATTGATAAACGAAATTGTTGGAGCTATTTGGTAACTTGTAGAATAATTTTGAATTTTTAAAATTTAAATTATATATATATATATATATATATATATATATATATATATATATATATATATATATATATTTTAATTTAAAAATTCAAGATTTTATTAAGAAACTATGGCTTTTTGCAAGAGACAACTACTATTTACCTACAAGTTCTTCGATCATTATACATTAAAAAACGCTTTCTAGTAATATAAAAGTTTATTTTATTTTCTATATGCATATAAATTTATTGTATTTTGGTTTTCTTCGAATCTTTTTGATATATAATATTTTGTAAATTTTAAACGTAATGAAATATCTATTTTGGACAAAAAAATAAAAATAAAAATTTGAAGGTTAGATTGATATCCTATAATTTAAAAAAGAAAGATGTTTCTAATCAAATATTCCATTAATGAAAAATTAATTTTAACAAACATAATTAATTATAAATCGATTAAAATTTTTGACAATGATAACTTACCATCCTTATTTTTTAATTTGGGTACCAGCCCTTCTTATGTTAGCAGAATTGTCATCTCCAATGCTCGTCACATCCTTAATTTCCTAATTTACCCCTAATGCAATTATTACACAAAGCGGTGCACATTAGATTGCACCCCATGCATGCCACCTTCCCTATAAATGGAGGCCATGCTTCAGCTCATGCTCTTCACAAGCCTTCAACAAGAAAACCCAATTACCATTTCCAAACCAACGTCAACCCCTCAGTCCTTAACATAGCACTTTCCTGCCCTCTATTTCTGTCCCTTGTTTTTCTACTTTTGCTTTTTGTGTGTTTCTTTTCATACCAACTAAGAAAAGATGGCCGAAGGTGTGCTCTTCGGTATTGCAGATGGAGTGAAAAATAAAATTGTTTCCCTAGTCCTTGACGAATTTGCTCTATGGTGGGGATTCAAAAAAGAGCTAGGCAAGCTCGACGGCACAGTTCAAACAATTAAGGATGTGCTCATTGATGCTGAAAAGCGGGCTCGGATCGAACAAACTGTTCAACTCAAAAACTGGATCGGGAGGCTGCGAGAAGCAGTACTTGATGCCGAAGATTTGCTTGACGATTTTTCCACAGAAGTTCAGCGGAAAAGGTTGGTGCCTAGGTATGGACTATGCGAGGAGGTACGTATTTTCTTCTCAGCATCAAACCAAATCTGGTATGGTTTGTGTATGGCTCATAAAGTTAGATCACTAAGGGAGACACTAGATAAGATTAAGAAGGATAGCGAAGAATATAATTTCGTGGATCAAAAGAGGGAGAATGTTCCTTTAACCACGGTTAGGGGGCAAACTACCTCTCGCGAACCGGAAATTGTCATTGGGAGAGATGATGATAAAAGGAAAGTTGTAAACTTTCTGTTGGATTCCAACAATGAACAGAATGTTTCTGTCATCTGCATAGTTGGAATAGGTGGGTTGGGGAAGACCACACTGGCTCAACATGTTTTTAATTATGAGCCAGTTAAGGAGAATTTTGGTGTAAAAATCTGGGTGAGTGTATCAGGTGGTCTTGATGTCATCAAGATTCTCAAAAAGGCTTCAGGTGATAGCGGCGATTGTGATAGCTTAGATAGTTTGGGAGATAAGCTTGGGAAAAAAATAAAAAATAAAAAATATTTGCTTGTTTTAGATGATGTGTGGGATGGTCAAAATGATAGTGAAGAATGGGATGTGTTGAAGGTGTTGTTACCACGTGATGTGAAAGGAAGCAGGGTAGTAGTAACTACGCGTTCTCATAGTATTGCAAAGTTCAGCACAATAGAACCGTATGTTTTACAAGGTCTATCAGCAGATGCCTCATGGGATCTGTTTAGATGGAAGGCATTTCCTCAAGGTCAGAAGTCGGGTCGCGCTGATGAAAAGATTAGAAAAGAGATTATAGAGAGGTGCTGTGGAGTTCCTTTTGTTATAAAGGCAATTGCAAGGCTAATGTCTTTGAAAAATAGAGCCCAGTGGTTGTCCTTTATAACTAATGAACTTCCAGTTAGGATCCATGATAATAACATCATGCAGACTCTTAAGTTGAGCTATGATCTTCTTCCATCATATATAAAGCATTGTTTTGCATATTGTAGTTTATTTCCTAAAGGCCAGGACATCAGTGTAAAATCATTGATTCAACTTTGGATTGCACAAGGGTTTATTAGCTCTTCGAATTCAGATGAGTGTCTTGAAGATGCTGGTCTTGGGTGCTTTGAAGTTTTATTGCAGAGGTCCTTCTTTAACGTGGGGGAAATGGATGATTTAGGGAACGTAGTAAGTTGCACAATGCATGATTTTATGCATGATCTTGCAGCTAAAGTGGCTGGTCTTGAGAGCACCTGTGCGGATCTGGAAGGAAGAAATATTAGTAAGTTGACACGACACATGTCGTGCAACCTTGAATTGGTTTTGTCACAACAAAATTCAATTCCTTTGCCTTGTGCTGAACATTTAAGGACACTCATGTCAGTTGGTGGAAAGTGGAAGGAGGGGGCATGGAAGTCAATTTGTCAAGAGTTTAGGCGTTTGCGTGCACTTGTTTTGAATGGTTTAAGAATTAAGGAAGTGTCACATTCTGTAGAAAATTTCAAACACCTTAGGTATCTTGATCTTTCTATGAATGATATGGAGACACTTCCTGATTCCATAACCGATCTAGTAAATTTGGAAGTGCTCAAACTCAATGGATGTAGTGAGCTTAAGACACTACCGAGGGAGATTAATAAGCTGGTCAATCTTAAGCATCTTGATATTGGTTGTAGTTTTGATTTTGATTTATGTGAAAGCTTGGAGCATATGCCTTACGGGATTGGTCAAGTAACTTCTCTTCAAACGTTGTCATGTTTTGTGGTCGCAAAACGTAGTTCTGAATCCAAGGACATTGGTGGGCTGGATGAGTTGATTGGGCTGAATAAATTGAGGGGAAGCCTAGAAATACTAGTTCGAGGATATGAGAAGATTTCGACAGAACTCCTGGGAAAGAAGGAACATCTTCAAGCTTTGACCCTAAAGTGGGATCTTTCAGATGGTGCTAGTGATTGGAGTGTTGATTTATATGATGAAATGCTGCAAAGCCTCCAGCCACATTCCATTCTTGAAGAGTTGAGTGTGGAAGGTTATGGAGGTATGAGATTTCCAAATTGGCTTTCAGATCTCCCAAGTCTTGTAGGACTTCATCTAAGGAGTTTTCCAAGTTGTAAGCATATTCCTCCCTTAGGTTGAATCCCTTCTCTTAAACATTTGGAATTTCAGGATTTGCAGGATCTAGAGTACATAGATAGTGAGGGGGTTGGAGAAAGAGAAGTGTCAACGTTTTTCCCATCTCTAGAGTCACTCGAGATATTTGACTGTCCCAGTTTGAAAGGATGGTGGAAGAGGATTGACGATGATAAAAATGATGAGGCAGCAACCTCAAGGACTCCAGAAGAAGTCTATTTTCCAATGCTCTCTTTTTTGAGCATACTGGATTGCCCTAACCTTACTTCAATGCCATTGTTTCCATCTCTCGAAGACGCTCTGTTTTTGTGGAATACCAGCTCACTGCCATTACAACAGACGATGAAGATGACAGCTTGGGAAGCACCATCATCGGTCTCTTCTTCCTCTTCTATCCGTCCTCTCTCCAATTTGAAGAAGCTAGAACTTTATGAGGTCAACGATTTGGAATCTCTACCTGAAGATGGGCTGCAAAATCTCTCCTCTCTTCAAAAGCTAGCATTTGATAGTTGCCCTAGATTAAAGTGTCTGCCTCTGTCTCAGGGGATGCATTCTCTTCAGAAATTATCTATCTTCAGTTGTCCGCAGTTAAGGTCTCTATCCCAATCTCAAGCGATGCCCCACCTTCCCTCTTTGCAAGATTTGTATATTTACTCATGCACTGATGAATTGATTGGAAGATTAAGAAGCAAGGAGGCTGTCGACTGGCCTAATATCGCACACATTCCAAAAATTACAATCAATAGACATTGCATTCAAAGGGACGGCCAATACAAAGGCAGGTCAGCATTTGTCTCCTTTATCTCATCCTTCATGTTGTCATGATTTGTCTCTATGTTGGTTAACTTTTTTTAATTTGTTATGCACAGTGAGTAATAAATAATAGAAAAAAGGTTAGTCACTCCACAAGTTCGAAGACTGGCCGGAAGTAGGATGCATGCTAGCCTGCCAGGTACTTCCACCTTTCTCCTCGTTTTATACACTAAGTGTTTCTTATAATCGTTTAATGGTGGTGTTAAGCAAGCAAATGCAGCCTCTGTCACTTTTTTCCTGTTTTACGTATTCCAATGACCAAATTAGTGACCATAGATTTACAAAAAAGAATGTTCTTTCTTTTTTTTTTAAATCCTTCTCATGTTTCTTTTTGGTCAGTGGATGCTCTCTCTTTTGAAATTAGCAATCTCACTCTGCCCAGAATTAAGGTCTTTCGACTATGAATTGAGAAGTTTAATTGAGGGCTGGCCAACGTTCCAACACATTCCATATATCGCTATTAATTTGAAGGACATTCAAAAGGATGGTCGGTATTTATTGTCAAAAAATCGAGGTACCAAATTTCGTTTCCTCATTATATTCTCAATTATCCTTCCTCCCTTCTTTAATTATACATCCAGTTGGTTATAAATTTTCACTTCAATTTCTATGTGCAGAGAACAATGAATTATGAGATAAGGTTGCTGAAGACGGACAGGATTAAAGGACATGATAGGTCTGTTATTTTAAGGTTGTCATCTCATCTAGTCCACTACAGCACATCATTCTATTTCCTTATTCCTCTTCAATATTTTCTTGTTTGTTTCAGGAACTGGTGAGCATTTTAATTTCATTCGAATGATGGTGTGTTCTCTACTGAGTGCAGAAAGCATTGCAAGAGCATATATATATATATATATATATATATGTTAATTTCTCGAAGCAAAGCAAGCTGTGATCTCCATCTCCAATCCTTTTGAAGCTTTTACACCCTTCCATGGATGGTCTTTTAATGATTGTCATTGGTTGGTGACTTTGTAATATACGGTGAATGTTTCTACCAATTATATGACTGACTTGTACTGTACTATGAGTTTTTTCTGTCTATTTGAGTCTTAACAAAACAGCTTGTAGAAATTAGTTTATTTCTGCGATTGTGGATCCTATCAACTATTTAAACCATTTTCTTATTTTCTGAGAAGTTTTGACATCCTTTCGGTGTAGGTTATGGTGACTGCAATGGTGTTTGATAAAACTGAAAACGTTGCCAAGGTTGGTTTTATTACAGATGATGGAGCAGGAAGATCTGTTCCAGAAGATGGTCATGGCTGTCTTGACAGAAAAATTCAGTGCACAGCTTGAGTTCGATCTTTTCATACCTTTCTCTGTTTACTTGTGGGAGTTTCAGGCATTAAAAATAGTTGAAGCTGAAAGAAAGTGCTCTGCCACAGCCTCAAATGATAGAATCATAAAAAACAGTCCTGCACAGAATGGATGAAATTGGATGTAGGAAATCCATTTCGAACCTGGTATGAGACTGAACTAGAGAGTTTTCTTACTGTCTCTGTTGCCTTATGTGATGGGCATAACATGCTACTTTACTTTCCCCAGTTCTCCAAGCAATACGGTAGTGTCAATGGACTAAATAATTGATTGTCTGCAACAATCTTCAAACATGTGAGTAGTACCATAAAATTGTTAGCTTTTATTCATGTAGCTTCTTTCCCTTTTCAATTTTTTAATTTGGAATCTCTACATGAAGATTGGCAGAAAAAATCTCTCCTCTCCAAGAACTGGTAGTTGCTTAATGCCCAAGACTGACTTCTCTGTCTCTGTCTCAGGGGATGCACTCTCTTCAGAGATTGAAAGTCGCATTATGCTCAGAATTAAGGTCTCTATCTCAAGGGATATCACACCTTGCCTCTTTAAAACACTTTGAAGTTGTCTTTGAAGAATGAGTTGTTAAGAAGTTTAACTGAGGAGGGGCCTAAGTTCCATCACGTTCCTAACATCATTATTAATTGAAAGGACATTCGAAAGGATGGTCGGTATTTGTTGGAGAAAAATTGAGGTACCAAATTTCGTTGCTCGTTATATTCTCAATTATCTTCTTTCTCCCTTCTTTAATTATGCATCCAGTTGGTAAATCTTTTCACTTCAATTTCTACGTGCAGAGAACAATGAATCATGACATAAGGTTGCTGAGGACAAACTGGATTAAATGGGATGATAGGTGTGCTATTTTAAGGTTGTCATCTCATCTGGTCCACTGCAGTACATCATCCTATTTCCTAATTCCTCTTCAATATTCTCGTGTTTGTTTCAGGAAATGTTGAGCATTCAATCTCATTTGCGTGATGGTATATTCTCTATTGGGTGCAGAAAGCAGCGGAAGAGCATATATACATGTTAATTTCCCGAAGCAAAGCAAGCTGTGATCTCCATCTCCAATCCTTTCGAAGTTTTTACACCTTTCCGTGGATGGTCTTTTAATGGTTATCATTGGTTGGGGACTTTGTAATATACGATGAATGTTTCTACTAATTATATGACTGACTTGTACTGTACTATAACTTTTTCGGTCTATTTGAGTCTTAACAAAACAGCTTGTAGAAAGTTAGTTTATTTCTGAGATTGTGGATACTATCAAAATCATCAAAGTATTTTTGAATATGATCTCCAGAGTCATCATTATTCTCAGAATGTCTTGTTGTTTATTTTTTCCATCTGCAGATCAAGTTATAGTTTTAAATTACAGATGCAATCGTAAAAATGGATGCGATGATGCTTTATATGACAATGATGATGCAGTAATGCTTTCTATAACAATGATTTTATATAATGATAACATTATATGGATGTTATTTGTAAAAAACCATCACATTTCTTGTAACGAGTATGTTTGAATTCGTTAAATAACGTTGTTATATTGTGTAATGACTTATTTATTCGTTAAATAACGATGGTTAATCTTATACAACGAACTATGGATCAAGGCATTCAAAATTAGGAGTATCTTTCATCATGATCCAATTCCCAACATCCTGACCCACGGGATTATGCGTCTCTCTGCATTGTTGGATATTGATCTTCTTTTTGACTGTCAGGACGCACCTGTTTCTCACTTCTCGTCCCATCTTGATATTCTCTGTGGGAAGTTTCAGCTGTTTGCAAAGTTCATGCATATGCATACCTTCTTCCTGCTATCAAGATCCAGAAAAGTTCGATAAAGAAGCCAGAGCAATTAGAAAGGTCTAGGAAAATTGATCAGAAGTATGTGAAGAAAGAAAATCACTAGGGAAAATACATGGGATAGCAGGAAAATGCTGATGTCAACAAAACTCACATGCTTGAAAATTGTTGCAGACGGTCAAGGACCACTTCATCGCAAACCTTTAGTCCGTGAACACTAAATTACTCAGAGAACTAGAGAAGGAAAAGGAGAGTTAAATGTAAATAGCAGCAAGGACATTGAAAACAGCTTTAACATGATTAAAGTATCATAACATTCTTTGGATCGGTTTCTAGAAAAAAATCTTGAACAAAAACACTTGTCAATTACATATTTCAAAACTAAACATATCAACTAATAGGAAACGAATTCTGCAAAAAAAAAAAAAAAAATAATAATAAATAAATAATATAGAAAGATAAAAACAATCACATTGTACAAAGATTTTACATGGATCAATAACGGTGCCTACTATATGGCTATACTAGGAGTTCTTATTAAGTTTTGTGAAGTGACAGCTTACGAATACAAAGAATATTGTTTCTATTTATGGAGTGGATAGCTAAGGTTATACCAAAAAAAGCCCAATAGACCTATACACTTGGTCCAATATTCTACGGATCTTTCAATTACCGACTAGTGAGACAATCGATCGCGTGCATAACGTCTTATACTATGGATCTTTATTCACATCAATCTTCACAACATAACCTTTATTCACATCAATCTTCACAACATAACATTCTCCCCGTGCTATCAAAGTTTGCACGAGATATTAACGAGAAGGATTGTTGTGAAAAAACCTTTTTTCTCAAAGAAAGTGATGCCCCGAGGGCTAAGATGGTATAAACATGGCAATAACAAGGTGATTGTCGAAGGACTAGAGCACATACTTACATTGAATAATTAAACTAAAAACGATTAATAAATAAGGTTGAGAAGAGACCATCCATCAAAAGGTTTAAGTCTTTTAAATGAAATTCAATCTCAATTATCTAATTTTACCATTTGACATATCTCAAAAGATGGATTGCAAGTGACGAGAATGTTTGGATAGAACCTAATTTCAATTATTTAACTCTATATAAAGATCTCTAATTCTTATATGGATCATACTAAATAGCTAAAAAGGATCAGGAGGATCTTTAATTCTGACATGAAAGATGCTAAAGTCCATAGTCCCAATATGGGTTATTTATCTAATAGTGGTTTTCGAACAAATAGTGTATCTGATTCAATAAACTTTAGGTGTCAAAACCAGATCTTGTAACAGCAGGATCGGCAGGATAAGCAAAGCATAATCTCAGACTGGCCAGGGAAGCCTATGACCTACATAAAAACAATGTTAGTTTCTTGGTAGCCCCAATGCTATGATTCTGCCTTCAGTTTTTCTTACAGACTATTATATCCAGTGCCATATGCGTGCACTAAGAAGGGACTATTATATCCAGTTTTTCTTAGTGGAAGATTAAGAAGCAAGGAGGCTGTTGACTGGCCTAATATCGCACACATTCCAAATATTACAATTGATGCACGTTGTATTTAACGGGACGGTCAATACAAAGGTAGGTCAGCATTTGTCTAGTTAATCTCTTCCTTCAGGTTGTCATGATTTATTTCTATGTTGGTTAACATTTTTTCATTTATTATGGACGGTGAGTAATAAACAATAGAAAAAAGGTTGCCAGTCCACAAGTTCCTTCAGGTACTTTCTCCTTTCTCCTCGTTTTATACACAAAAGTTCTCTCATCGTCTTTTAATGGCGGTGTTAATCAAGCAAGCAAATACCCTCTCTGCCACTTTTCCCCTGTTTTATGCATTCCAATGACCAAACTATTAACCCTAGATTTACAGAAAAGAATGCTCTAATTTTTCTATTTATTTATTTTATTCCTTCCCATGTTTCTTTTTGGTCAGTGGATGCTCTATCTTCAGAAATTAGCAGTCTCACCATGCCCAGAACTAAGGTCTTTGAACGATGAATTGAGAAGTTTAATTGAAGACTGGCCTGGGTTCCAACACATCCCAAACATCGTGTTAATTGGAAGGACATTCAAAAGCATGGTCGGTATTTATTGGAGAAAAGTTGAGGTATCAAATTTCGTTGCTCGTTATAGTCTCAATTTATCTTCTTCCTCCCTTCGTTAATTATACATGCAGTTGGTTAAGTTTTTCACTCCAATTTCTATGTGCAGAGACCAACAAATTATGGATCAGGTTGCTGAAGACGAACTGGATTAATTCGGACGAAAGGTGTGTTATTTTAAGGTTATCATCTCATCTAGTCCATTGCGGTACATCATCCTATTTCCTAATTCCTCTTCAATATTCTCCTGTTTGTTTCACGAAATGTGCGCATTCAATTTCATTTGAGTGACATCCATTCTTTTGAAGTTTCTGCACTTTTCCGTGGATGACTTGTACTGCAATTTTTTCAGTGTATTTGAGTCTTAACAAAACCGCTTGTAGAAATTAGTTTGTTCGTGACATAGTGGATAGTTGATACTATCAAAATCATCAAAGTATTTTGAATATGATCCAACCCCAGAATCAACATTATTCTCAGAATGTCTTCTTGTTTGTTTTCTCCATCTGGGGGATCAAGCCATTAAAAATTAAGTGAATGTCTTCCATCATGATCCCAACATCCTGACCCATGGGATTATGCATAAGGATTTAATTTTTTTTTATTTCTTTAATACTCTTAGTATCCTACTTGCTCAACACTCGTGCGTTGTCATGGGTAAGTTTATTATATCTATGTTTTAATATTTTAAATAATTTAAAAATATAAATGTAAAATAAAAATTAATTAACACACATTGTAAAAAAATTGTATATATATATATATATATATATATATATATATATATATATATATATATATATATATATATATACATATATTTGAATTTAAATATTTCTTAGGAATATTTTTTATTTTGATAGATAAAAAATACATGCAATTAATTATTTATTTTTTAAAAAATCCAATTAGAAGGAGGTGTTTAATCCATTTATATTAGAAGAATATTTAATTTTAGTTCATAAACATTTATAAAAATAGAAAAAGTAACCATTAATCATGGAAAAAAAATATTTTGATTAAATAATAATTAATGAAAAAACCCAGTCCGAAAAAAAAATGATAGGGATCTTTTGGTAATATTAATGAAAATTAGGGACTGTTTTATATAATGTAATAACTTAGAGGATCAAAGTATAAAATATTGATAAATTGACAAAAAATCACTTTTTTTTTTTTTTTTGAAAAATGACGTTGTTTTGGGTCTAAAAAACCCAAAACGATGCCGTTTTGGTTTCACTGTAGTAAGAGTTTAGCTACAGTGAAAACACGTCTGCTTTTAGTATATGTATAATTAATTAGCATAATTGTTGGATGATCACCTAATAATTCTTTTTTAATCAACATTCATCTCATCATTTATGTCAAAAAATTTGTTAATTTTAATTAATTTAAATATCCATCTAAAATTTAGATATTGTTTATGTGTAGAATTAAATTAGATTGGTGATTAAAAGAATTGAAAATTACTTGAAGTAACACGATGATTAATTACTATATGGTAAATCTATACAATAATCTGAAGCAAAACAAGGGCATATAAGTAGTTATGAATTAATGTTATTGCTGATAAGGGGTTGGGCTATTCACCGTAGATTGGGCTTTGGGCCCATGAAGGTAAAAGATTCGATGGTTATCTAAAACTTAGGAAACTGGACCTTTGATGCACATATTCTCTCTGTTGCTGATAATGAGTGAGATGTTTCTTCAACCCAGGCACGTGGGTCTAGAGACAAGCAAGCCCATACAGAGGGGTCTGGTGTAAACCCAACCCATCCTTTTTTTTGTCCCCCATGACTGAGATGTTTTGAGGGCTGGAAGTTCGAAGAAGATAGTTGGAAAATGGACTGCAACTTTTAGGTTTTTTTTTAAGGAGAGGAGGAGGAGCTTTGACCGGCTGGTTTAGAGGTAGTTTGGGGTTGTATTGTGAGGGTTAATGGCTATTTTGGGAGAGTTTTAGGGGTTTGTTTTAGAGGGTTTTGGGTATAAAAATGGTAGTTTAATGGAGGAGAAGATGGAGTTGTTGGATGGCAAAAAATGGAGAGGTAGGTAGAAAAGGGTTGGCGGCTTATGGAGGAGAAAAAGGTGGAAGTTGTGAGCTTTGGTTTTTTAGCTATGGATACTCTTTCTTCTCAATGAAATGATAGAGAGATAGCTTTATCTTGCTAGATTTCTTATTGGATAAAAATATGAATGAAATGATTCTTTTTTCTCTTGCAATAAGAGGTCATAGGTTCAAATTCTAATAGACTAATTTTGTTAAGAGCCTTAGATGTGTGAGTAAAAAAAAAAAAAAAAATGACTCTCTTTCGTGAGAGAGAAAGCGAGTTTTTATAGTTAGGGTTAGTTAAGGTTTTAAGAATTTCGATATCGATCCTATATTTATTTCTTTCTTCTCATATTTTGCACATAAACCCTTCCTTCCTTCCTTCTTTGTATTTTCAATTAGTATGTTTTTTCAATTGAACCCCTAATTCAATTGTTTTTGGATCCAATTTCTCACATTTAACTAATTGGGTCAAAAATTACCAATTTATACTTATTTTTTTTCTCTTCTCGTTTTCTTCTTTTGTTTAAAACTTATCCCTATGATGAAACTTGCACAATCAAACAAATTAAACACAAATATAATTAATTAATTTTTTTTTTTTTTTGCATTTTCAATTTTTTAAGAAAAGTGCGTAAAACATAGGGGGTTTAAAATTGGATGACAACAATATTAATGGGGTAGAGTACTGGAACAGATTAATCTACACAGAAACTGATCTTATTTAAATTTCATAATTGGAAAAGAATGCACTAAATACAAATTCAAATGATGAAGATACAATATTAATGCTCTGACAATTCTAGACTCCTAAGAGCAAATCTAAAAATTACGTCAGCATCTATCTCTCATTTATTTTATTATAACAACTGTCCGATTATATATATATATATATAAAACCTGATGGAATCTCCATGTTAACAACAATCTAGGCATGTTTACGTGCCAACTCCAGTATACATTTGGTGAGTTCTTTAGGCTTGGAAAGCATTGCCATATGATCTGATGGAATCTCCATCACTTCCTTAACCTTATTGTGTTCAATCATGAAGCGCTGCAATGACGGAATTATCAATAAATCTTCGGTACAAACAACATAATCTTTTAGAACCGATCCAAATCTCTTATTCGTGAATTTATTTGCCTTGGACAGACTTTTCAGAAACATTGATCCTGGTCTCGTTAAAAGCTTTTGGAGATTGAGATCCTACAAACAAGAAAAACATCATAAATATACACAAGTTACCACTATGAAACAAATCAGTTCAAGGTTGAAAAGTAATTTGTCATCGGAATATTTATGAACTGTACCTCAGTGGGTGTTAGGTTAAAGGCCGTGGCCCTCATGAACGACGTCTCATTTTGGTCGGTCGAAGACACTGCACCTTGCAAACCGTCTGCAGCGGCCGGATTGATTTGCATGAACTAACAGAAAGGCCAAAACATATAGCGGTTTGAAGTTAGAGATGGTAATGCTCGGAAAAAACATTTGCATGGATTCATGTGCATTATTATTATTATTAACATCTCTTCTCAAGTGATATATATATGTTTTTGCTAGGCTTATATACTTGGACCTTAAGATGATTCTTTTATGAAACAACCTATGGTTTTAAAAATAGTGAATTTAATCAAATACAAGAAGTAAACCGGATAAATCATCTTAATTATAAGCAATCAATAGAAAAGGTAAATGAAAACAAGGGGTCTTCATTATTATATTAATCAAACAAGTGTACCTTCTCTAGCATATACGATGGCGGGTGCACCATATCAGGCAAGAATGCTGTAACAAAAACAGCAAGAGAAATTTTCTCTGGGAACTTCTCCATAGCAAAAGACAGATTGAAGCCACCTAAACTATGCCCCACCAATACAACCTTTTCATTTTCAGGTAAGTTGGCCATGAAGTCAATCAAGGGCTCATTATACTGATCAAAAGTAACAATTTCTTCTAGTGTTTTTGTGTTCACCCCTGATGCACTCATGTCAAGAGCTGTGACAGAGTGGCCAGCTTCCTCCAGCATTGTCTTCACCTTGTACCATACCCAAGCTCCTGAAGCTATACCATGGATTAAAACAAAATGCGTTGTTTGATTGTTGCTCTTTCCCATTTTCTTTTGGTTCGGCTTGATAGAACGTAAGAACGTAAAGACTTTTGGTTTGGTTTGATAGTACGTAATATTTTTGTAATGGCTCGATAGTACTTAATAATCTCATTGTTTGGTGGTTTATATAGAGAGTAGCGTGTGTTGAAAAGTTGAAACTTGGAAACGTCAAGTTTTGATCAAGAACTCCTAGGCATTATTTTCTTTGACTAGTCATTTCATGCCTTCTGTTTTGATGCTATTAACATGCAACGGGAAGGAAAATGCATTAAATCTCTGTGTTTTTTTTTCAGTTGATCATATTGGAATTGAACTTATTTTTGTCGTAGAAGAACTTCAAATAAGATGACCAATTGTAGATAGCTTGTTTTTGTAGAATCCAACTCCTCAAATCCAAACGCAACTCTTGCTTTTGTTTTTCTTGTCTCCCGGGTTGTAGACTCTAAAAAATTCAACATAGCTTGTAATTAAACTCTTCTTGTTTAGTTGTTCTTATATATATGTGTGTGTATTTAAGTCTAGATATGGATATACATTGACCTTGCCGGAAAAGAAGAGATCATCGTGAGAAATAGCATTATAACAACTGGATATCATCACCACATAAGTCACAATAGGAGTAAGGAGTCTGGTTCTTCGTCTTGGAGCATATAACTCTTCAAATCCAAACGAAACTCTTTCATCTCACATATTTTATTAGAAGTGTTAAAAATTAAGCATCACTTGTTATGTGTAAATGTACGTGTAATTAATGATGCTAGCGTATGTTTCTTAAAGGAAGTAAAAAAAAAAAAAGATCTCAAAAAAAAAAAAAAGGGAAAAAGGTAAGGAAAATGATTATTGGAATTTGTTTTTTTTTTTTTTTGGGCCAAAGAAATGATTAGTGCAATGAGTTACAATGAGTTACAATTAAAGGGTGTTAGAGAATAATGTAAATTATATCATAAAGTTTCACCTAATAGTTTAAGTTTTTTGATGAGATGGTTATTTGACATGATATTAGAGCCTTGATGATCAAACGGTGCAAGTTTTAAATTCAAAGAAAGATGATCTTTTGATATGATATCGAGCCTCGATAATCAAATGATGCAAGTTTCAAATCTAAAAAGCTTTCTTCGCGAAAATGTGTTAGAGATTAAGCTTTTGGTTAAGATGATTATTTAACAAACTTAAATGGTTGCGGAGGAGACGGAGACCGAAGCAAGTTTCATAAGGTTGAACCAATTACTAAAGTTCAAGTAGGCTAAACACATTACATATATTTTTTCTTTTTCTTTTTTTCAACATAAAGAGTTTCTTTGGATATGTTGATCTAATGAATCTTAAGAGTTTCTTATTGTTGATAAAGGGAGACTGGCAATAAATTAGAAAATCATGATCTCACAATAAATGATATTTCTTTTCCATTAAGAGGAATTTGACATCCCTTTGTTCCTTTTTTTTTTTTTTACTTTTTAGGAAATAATTTAACATTTTTTAATGTGAAATTAATAAATAATAAAATATAGATATCATTAATTAATGAATAATACATGTACTTACATGGATTTGCTATTTTGTATAATATTAATTTTTTCCTTTATTCAGATTCATTATATCAACATATTATAATCTTCAAACAAACATTAAGCTAGTCATTTCATAGGTGGGACCAGGAGCGGGAAGTGACCCATCTTTCAGTAAGAAAAATCTAGTTCATAGGTGGGACCAGGTGAGGGAATCGAGGACTTTTCAGTAAAAAAAATAAGTCAAACTCCCTAATCCCATAAGTTATATTTGGCAAGATAATGACCGTCGATGATAGGAATTGGATCCAAGCCATCCACTTTCAAAAAATAAGACAAATGTTAACGAGTTTCACGTGCTTTTTTTAAAACAGGCAAACTACCAACAAGCCCTCGTATTTCCTTTTTTGACAGTGTCTGGAAAAAAATTAATAAGTTCCATATTTAAACTTTTTCTTTACAAATAATTTTTAGTTGATAAATATTCTACAATTTTTTTTATAATGTAGGGTAAACTTAACATACTTTCACTTGTGTATTTAGTTGTGACATTTTGAATAGTTGGCAACCTTGCTTATTAAAAATTAAAGATGCAACACTCGATTGTAAATTTCTAATAACTTGAGGTACCAAATAAACTTGTTTATCTCACAAGTTTTTTTATCAATCTTACGTAATCGATTGACCAAGCATACATACTGCTGCTAGCGGACTAAATTAAAAATATAATTAAGAAAAAAAAAACTAATAAAAACAAAGTAAATAATTGGAGAGATCACAGAAATCTGTTGTCATATATTTTTTTTCAAAGTGCTTATCAACAAGTGTACAGCTCTCACCACAAATGTCATTATCTAACTTTTTTTTAAAGGTTTGTTTATTAAGTTTTTGGAGTTTTTTTTTAACTAGTAAAATAAAGAGTAAATTATAAATTATTTTTTTTATTTTTCAAACACAAATTAATTACTTTATTCTATATAAAAAATCGTTTATTCAGTCTCTCAATAAATATTAATCATAATTATTTTAATATTATTTTATTTTTTAAAAAAATGTTATTTTTCTTATCAATCACTTCTTATTTTTTTATTTCTTAAGAAAATAAATCAAAATAAATTGAAAAAATTAGTTAACAATTACATATAATGAATTACATATAATGAAGATTGAACAGTTTTGATCACATTTATCCAATATTAATATTTTAGAAGTTTAAATTATGTAATTCAATATTATTTAATCACACTTAGGGATGAAATTTACTATTAAACCCTTTGTTGATGGTTTTTGCGTCCTTTTCGTTATAAATTTGGTCTTATTTCTATGATTTGATGGTCTGATCCTGCCCGGTCGGTGGGGCTAGGAAGTGGTAGTCAATTTCCCTCAATTATTGTAGTTTGGTCTTCTTTTATACAGATAATCCTCCTTTCACACCATTGGTCCTGTATATCAATGGAAAACATTCCACTGAAGGGAAGATATAAAGGAAAATGATAGAGCAAATGCAAATGCAAAATGAATTTTCATGTTATCCAAAATGATAAATAAAGAACATGTTAGAAATTTCGAAACTTATATTAAAAAAAAGAGCATGTCTTTCTCTCTCTAATTTTTTTTAATTATTTTTAAAAAAGGATGTTTGCTAGCTTATAAAACAAAAATACTACATATTTAGGATGGATTTTTGTCATAACTTCGTGATTTAAATTTGCCTCCTTTATGGTTTATATTATCTGGCCAGCAAATATATTCTTAAATTTATGGGCATTATTTTTTTTTTTCTATTTGATATTAAAAATAAACTTTTGATTAGCTTGTACAACATTCGAAACTAAATATCTATCTGAACAAACAAATTATAGCTAGAGAAAATGTATTTGTATCATGCTTTTAAATTTTTAAAATTAACTTTGCAAGTTTTTATAAAATAAAAAAATAAAATAAAATAATTTGTTTTACGTTTTGAAAAAAAATAAAATTAGGAAATAAATATTACCATTCTACTTGCTTCCATACGGCAATTAAGCAAAGTCATTGTCTCTTGGGACCTACGTGCATGTTTTTTCTTCATGTACGTAGGCAATTATTGCCCATAACAGTGCTCCCTAATAATTGGACACAGTAGTGTTTTTTTTATTTTATTTTTTTCCAATGCTTCTTCCCTATAAATGGAGGCCATGCTTCAGCTCATGTTCTTCACAAGCCTTCTAGCAGACAACCCAATTACCATTTCCAAACCAACGTCAAAACCTCAGTCCTTAACGCACCACTTTCCTGCTTTCCCTGTCCCTTGTTTTTCTCCTTTTGCTTTGTTTGTGTTCCTTTTCATACCAACTATGAAAAAATGGCCGAAGGTGTGCTCTTCGGTATTGCAGGTGAAGTGAAAAATAAACTTGTTTCCCTAGCTGCTGCGGAATTCGCTCTATGGTGGGGGTTCAAAAAAGAGCTAGGCAACCTCGACGGAACAGTTGAAAGAATTAAGGATGTGCTCATTGATGCTGAGAAGCGGGCTCGGATCGAACAAACTGAACAACTCGAAAAGTGGATCTGGAGGCTGCGAGAAGCAGTATTTGATGCCGAAGATTTGCTTGATGATTTTTCCGCTGAAGTTGAGCGGAAAAAGTTGGTGCCTAGGTATGGATTATGCGAGGAGGTACGTATTTTCTTCTCAGCATCTAACCAAATTTGGTATGGTTTGCGTATGGCTCATAAAGTTAGATCACTAAGGGAGAGACTAGAGGCGATTAAGAAGGATAGCGAAGACTATCATTTCGAGGTTCAAAAAAAGGAGAATGTTCCTTTAACCATGGTTAGGGAGCAAACTACCTCTTTTGAACCGGAAATTGTTATTGGGAGAGATGATGACAAAAGGAAAGTTGTGAACTTTCTGTTGAATCCCAACTATGAACAGAATGTTTCTGCCATCTGCATAGTTGGAATGGGTGGGTTGGGGAAGACCACACTGGCTCAACATGTTTTTAATGATGAGCAAGTTAAGGTGCACTTTGGTCTGAAACTCTGGGTCAGTGTCTCAGGAAGTTTTGATGTCACAAAGATTGTCAAAGATATCTTAGAGGCTATAGCTAAAAAAGATAGAATCAAAGAGCCTGCAGGTAGTATGGGAGTTTCTGATGGGTTGGAGAGTGTGAAAAGTGATCGGTTAGAAAGTCTGGGAGCTATTCTTGCCGAAAAAGTAGACAATAGAAAATATTTGCTTGTTTTAGATGATGTGTGGGAGGGTAAGCAAGATGATGGTGAAAAATGGGATGGGTTTAAGAAGTTGTTACCACGTGATGTAAAAGGAAGTAAGGTAGTACTAACTACACGTTCTCTTAAAATTGCAAAATTCACAGTGCCAATAGCACCACATGTTTTACAAGGTCTATCAGTAGATGCCTCATGGGATCTTTTCAGAAGAAAGGCATTTACTGAAGATCTGGAGTCTCATCACGTAGTTGATAGGATTAGAGAAGAGATTGTAGAGAGATGTCATGGAGTTCCTTTGGTTATAAAGGCAATTGCAGGGCTAATGTGTGGGATGGATAAATCCCAGTGGTTGTCCTTTATAATTAATGATCTTCCAGATAGGGTCCATGATGATAACATCATACAGACACTTAAGTTGAGCTATGATCTTCTTCCATCAAATGAGAAGCATTGTTTTTCATATTGTAGTTTATTTCCTAAAGGTCAGGATATCAGTGTAAAATCATTGATTCGACTTTGGATTGCACAAGGGTTCATTAGCCCTTCAAATCCAAATCTTGAAGCTACTGGTCGTAGTTACTTTAGGAACTTATTGGATAGGTCATTCTTCCACGAAGTGAAAAGGGATCAACTCGGCAACGATGAAAGCTGCAAAATGCATGATTTTATGCATGATCTTGCAACCAAAGTAGCTGCTTCTGAGAGCATCAAAGTGGATCGGGAGAGAAAAAGTGATAGTGAATTTACACGACATCTGTCATCCGAGATTGAATTGGATTTCTCACAGCCAATTCCAAATCTCTTGCCTAGTGCAAAACGTTTGCGGACGCTTATGTTGTTTGGTGGAAAGTGGAATGAGGGGGCATGGGAGTCAATTTGTAGTGATTGTAGATGTTTGCGTGTTCTTAATTTGCACTCTTTAGGAATTAAGGAAGTGTCACCTCGCATCAAAAATTTCAAGCTTCTTAAATATCTTGATCTTTCCGACAATCATGACATGGAGGCACTTCCTAATTCTATTACCGATCTAGTAAATTTGCAAGTGCTCAAGCTCAATGAGTGTTGGGAGCTCAAGGCACTACCAAAGGATATCAATAAGTTGACAAATCTTAAGCATCTTGATCTTGGTTGTGCTAAGGATGATGATTTCTGTAACAGCTTGGAGCATATGCCTCGTGGGATTGGGCAATTAACTTCTCTTCAAACGTTGTCATGTTTTGTGGTTGCAAAAAATAGTTCTGATTCCAAGGATATTGGTGGGTTGAATGAGTTGAAGAGCCTGAACGGATTGACTGGGTGCCTAGAAATAAGAGTTCGTGGATATGAGACGAATTCTTGTATCTCAGAATTCAAGGAAGCTAAACTGATAGAAAAACAAAATCTTCAAGTTTGACAATACTGTTGTATCCTTCTGATGGTGGTAGTCAATCCGATACTGGGTCATATGGGGAAATGTTGGATCCCGATCTGGAGTTACATGAGGAAGTGTTGGATGATTCCGCTATTGAGTTACATGAGGAAGTGTTGGATGATTCCGCTATTGAGTTACATGAGGAAATGTTGGAAAGCCTCCAGCCACATTCAAAGCTTGAAGAGTTGTTCGTTGGGGGTTATGGAGGTATGAGGCTTCCATGTTGGCTTTCAGAACTCTCAAATCTTATAAGGATTGGACTATTTGATTGTAGAAGTTGTAAGCATATCCCTCCCTTACATGGAATCCCTTGTCTCGAAGAATTGAGCATTGATGATTTCCCTAAGTTGGAATACATAGATAATGAGGGGGTCGGAGGAAGAGGAGCATCGATGTTTTTCCCGTCTCTGAAGGAACTCGAGGTGGTAGATTGTCCTAAGCTGAAGGGATGGTGCAAGAAGAGTGACAGGACACCAGCAGAAGAAGAGTTGATGCTCCATTTTCCATGTCTTTCTATCTTGGCCATAGAGGATTGTCCTGATTTGACTTCAATGCCATTGTTTCCATCTGTCGATGATGTGGTGAATTTTTATAGTGCAAGCTCAGCTCCATTACAGCAGACAATGAAGATGACAGCTTGGAAATCACCATCACTTTCTTCTTTTATCCGCCCGCTCTCCAAGTTGAAGAAACTACAAATTCACGATGCTGCTGATATGGAATTTCTTCCTGAAGATGGGCTGCAAAATCTTTCTTCTCTTCAAGAGCTGCAAATTAAGAGTTGCCCTAGATTGAAGTGTCTGCCTCTGTCTGGGGGGATGCATTCTCTTCAGAAATTAGAAATCTCCCTTTGTCCACAGTTAACGTCTCTCTCTCAATCTCATGCGATGCCCCAGCTTCTCTCTTTGCAAGAATTGAATATTGCTTTCTGCACGGAAGAGTTGAGTGGAAGATTAAGAAGCAAGGACGCTGTCGACTGGCCTAATATTGCACACATTCCAGAAATCTTAATTGATGATCGTAGCATCCAAAGGGACGGCCAATACATAGGCAGGTCAGCATTTGTCTCCTCAATCTCTTCGTTCAGATTGTCGTGATATATTCTGTATTATTGATTTTATGTTGGTTAACATTTTTTTCATTTATTATGGACAGTGAATAATAAAGAATAGAAAAAAGGTTGCCACTCCACAAGTTTGAAGCCAGGCAGGAAGTAAGATGCATGCTAGGTACTTTCTCCCCGTTTTACTGACAAAAGTTTTCTTATAATCTTTTAATGGCGGTATTAACCAAGCAAATACACCCTTTCACTTTTTATCTGTTTTCGGTATTCCAATGACCAAATTACTAACCCTAGATTTACAGAAAAGAAGGCTCTAAATTTTTTAGAATTCTTCTCGTGTTTCTTTTTGGTCAGTGAAAAATCCAATTTTTTGAGAAAGGCCGTGGAAATTGTGTTATGATGGAATGGTGGCTGATAAAGTTGAAAAGGAGCTGGTAAGTTTTCTGTCCTGTTAATTGATAACTTGGTTTGGATGTGATTGTAAGTATGATAGTTTGTCATGCATTTTAGAATTTTTTTTTTAATATATTGGAAATAGTTATGATAATATGGAATTTATAGGGTTTTCTAGGCCTGTCAAATGTCTAAACATGGAAGATAGATAAGAATGGTGTGCATAGTTTGTGTTTTCTCTTGGTTGGTTACTTGATTGTGTGTATTTGCTCGAACTGAAGCTGTGGAGTTGTCGGTGAACATTGCTGTCAAAATGGATCAAGTGGACCTCGGACATCTACAATAAACCTGGTACAGCACTGAATCAAAAAAATTTGGGAAGATGAAACATTACAAATGAAGAATATGAAATCTATATTGTAATATCTTCTTGTTCTGATTCATCTTTTTTCTTTATGTGACCTAGATTCGTCATTCATAGTGTTGATCCCAAGTACAGTGAAGCAGATAGAGCAAGGTTTACTTTCTGGTGATGAAACTTCAACTTTCATGATCAACAGAGCTGAGAGTTACCGATGTAATTCTTTTCAAGTTCTTGTCATAAATAAGCATAATGGTTCTGATCACCAGCAACTATTTAAACCATTTTTCTTATTTTCTGAGGGTTTTGACATCTTATTGCTGTAGGTTACAGTGACTGCAATGGTGTTTGATAAAACCGAAGAAGTTGCCAAGGTTGGTTTTATTATAAATGATGGAGCAAGAAGATCTGCTGCCGAAGATGATCATGGCTGTCTTGACAGAAAAATTCAGTGAACTGCTTGAGTTCGATCTTTTCGTACCTTTTTCTGTTTACTTGTGGGAGTTTCTGCCATTAAAAATAGTTGAAGCTGAAAGAAAGTGCTCTGCCACAGCCTCGAATGATAGAATCATCAAAAAACACTCCTGCACAGAATGGATG